TGACCGAAGAACATAGATAAGTGCAAACTAGAGTTTAAAGGTCTCATATTTAAAATCCTCTTCTCCATGTTCCTCTAACTCTAACATGTGTCTCTAGTCCGTCTACAAACCCCCCAATGATGAGAAAAGTCCATCCTCTCCGTCTTCTGCCTGCTCCACTTTTCAGAAAATGTGTGCTCAAACAGGCCGTTTGGAGATTTTCCCTTCATGACATCACAAAGGGCAGTAGCCCTTCCCCCAGGTGGGTGACACTCCCACAGCTAGGTGTTTGTTCTGCCCTCTGAGTCTGCCTTCTCACCGTAAACAATAGGACATGGAGCGAGAAAGACAGAGATACCCAAGCCCTTCCAGAGAGGGGGCGTGGTCAGACACAGCTCATTTACATATTTAAAGCTACAGAAACAGCCTGTTCTGAGCAGGGCTGAAATAGAGGGGTTTATAGACATGATCAAATACAGGATCAGAGTGGATTTAGAACAAGAAACTTCACACACATGTTTTGAGGAGCTCTGAGACTTCTTTACACTGAAGAAGAGGAGGAGGATATGTCACCTTTAAAATCAGAAGCTTCACCTGGGCAGAGCGGGAGTCGGGGGGGGGGGGGGGGGGGGGACAGTTTGAACACGAGCTGAGCTTCTCTCCTGTGTTTCTCTGAAGGCTATCAGCAACAAGGAGCAGCACAGTATCTCCTACACGCTGTCCCGGGCTCAGACCGTGGTGGTGGAGTACACGCACGACCTCAACACCGACATGTTCCAGGTCAGCGTCCACATCCTGGTTTTTGTCTCCGGTCTGCGTCTGTATCTGGTGTTTAAGACTTAAACATGAATCTGCTCTTTGGTTACAGGTCGGTCGATCCACTGAGACTCCCATTGACTTTGTGGTGACGGACACGGCGCCCGGGGGTCAGAACCAGGCAGACGCTCAGGTGCTTCAGAGCACCATCTCGCGCTTCGCCTGCCGCATCATCTGTCAAAGAAACCCGCCGCACTTCGCACGCATCTACGCCGCTGGCTTCGACTCCTCCAGCAACATCTTCCTCGGGGTACGCTGCTCCAAAACCCCCTCGATGTCCGAGGTCGACGCCGGCGGCGGTCATGGAGCTGTTGTTATTATTAAACATTCATGATGTGTTCTCAGGAGAAGGCCGCTAAGTGGAGGATGAAAGACGGTCAGATGGATGGACTGACCACGAATGGCGTCCTGGTGATGCACCCACGCCACGGCTTCAACCAGGACTCCAAACCCGGTCTGTGGAGGGAAATCTCCGTCTGCGGGAACGTCTTCACGCTGAGGGAAACCAGATCATCTCAGCAGAGGGGGAAGATGGTAGGTGACCCACTGCATCATGGGAAACGTAGTGTTATTGACTGAAACAAAGGAGTTCTGTTTACTCCGATTCTATGGTGAGCATCCTTAAAGTCTAAAGCGAGGGCCGATCAGTGGGGGGGCGGGGCTTGTCAGGGGTGAATCGTTGGCGATCAGTCGGGGTGTGACATCACTCTGATCAGCCAGCCAATCAGGGCACAGGAAGAGAAAAGGAAGTGACATTTTCTCTCATCATGGTTTGTGTGACAGATATCAGGCCGCCGCCCCCTGCTGGTAGGGAGAGGTATTACCTCTCACATGCTCAGAATGCTGCTGTCAGTTTGTTTTCCTTTGATGAATTCTAAATTGAGCGTCTGTCTCGTCCTCAGGTGGACTGTGAGTCGAACGAGCTGGTGGACGGCTCGCTCATCGACCTCTGCGGCGCCACGCTGCTGTGGAGGACGGCTGAAGGCCTCTCGCACACTCCCACCGTCCAACACCTGGAGGCGCTGCGGCGGGAGCTTAACGCCGGGCGGCCGCAGTGTCCCGTGGGCTTCAACACGCTCGCCTTCCCCAGCCTCAGCCGCAGAGACGTGCTGGACGAGAAGCGGCCGTGGGCTTACCTCCGCTGCGGGCACGTGCACGGATACCATGGCTGGGGGGGCCGCCGCAACCCAGAGGTGGAGGCGGAGTGTAGGGAGAGAGAGTGCCCCATGTGCAGAGCGAGGGGCCCGTACGTGCCGCTGTGGCTGGGCTGTGAGGCGGGCGTCTACGTGGACGCAGAGCCACCCACGCACGCCTTCGTCCCCTGCGGGCACGTCTGCTCGGAGAAGACGGTGGCGTTCTGGAGTCAGATCCCGTTCCCGCACGGCACGCACACGTTCCACGCCGCCTGCCCGTTCTGCGTCCAGCTGCTGAGCGAGGAGGCGGGCTGCGTCAGACTCATCTTCCAAAGCCCGCTGGACTAGAACCGCCATGACCTTTTTATCTCAGGCCGCCATCTGAAGCATGGACACGACTGGAGGCTTTTAAAAAACATTTCACTTCATTTATAATGAATTTAATCTTGATCTGAAGAAACTGGTCACACCTGTCCTCCTCTCAGGTGGTGGACCGTCTTTCTACTGAATGTCTTGTTTATTCTCTTCACTGATGTTTCAGTCTCTCTGTGCCTTAAAGACCCGTTAGAGGTCGAGACCTGGACCTGACCTTCACTCGTATAGACGAGGGCTGTCAGCGTCGTGATTCATTAAGGTCTGAAATGAATGAAGCTGCAACCTTAGGTATTGAAAAGATGAGTTTTAAAACTACAGAGGAAGAAAAGACCAGAAACAGGACCACCGATGTCTCAAAGGGAAGAAGAACGCCCAGAAATCTGAAAATTCAGGAGACAACAGAAACAAAATCTCCTCACCACAAACTCTCTGTCTCTCTTTCTGTCTCTCTTTCTCTCTCTCTTTCTGTCTCTCTTTCGCTCTCTCTGTCTCTGTCTCTCGCCCCTCTCTCGCTCTCTTTCTGTCTCTCTTTCTCTCTCTCTGTCTCTGTCTCTCGCCCCTCTCTCGCTCTCTTTCTGTCTCTCTTTCTCTCTCTCTCTGTCTCTCTCTCCGTCTCTCTCTCCGCCTCTTGCCCCTCTCTCTCTCTCTTTCTGTCTCTCTTTCTCTCTCTCTCTCTCTCTCTCTCTCTGTCTCTCTCTCTCCTGTCTCTCTCTCTCTTTCTGTCTCTCTTCTCTCTCTCGTCTCTCTCTTTCTCTCTCTCTGTCTCTCTCTTTGTCTCTCTCTTCGTCTCTCACCTCTTTCTCTCTCTCCCTCTCTCTCTCCGTCTCTTGCCCCTCTTTCTCTCCCTCTCTCCGTCTCTCGCCCCTCTTTCTCTCTCTCTCTTTGTCTCTCGCCCCTCTTTCTCTCTCTCTTTGATTCCAGTCATTTTTTCATTGTTGTCAGTTTTGTTTTCGTTGCAGGAAAAAGTAAAAACACCGACTCACAGTTTAGTTTTTGATCTTTGTCTCTGTACCAAAGTGACCTTTCTCTGCTGCCTCTGAACTCTGAATAACAAACTCTGTATCGTAACAAGACTAAAAATAAATCTCTGAAAACACGTGTCCCTGTTCAATGACGTCCTGAGTCTGCTGCAGCACCACCATGAGGCCAAACCTCACACACTTTTATTAGTAAATGGACTTCAGCTTGTTTATTTATTTTCTAGTCTTCTGACTACTCAAAGCACTTTTACACATTCACACGCTGATGGTAGAGGCTGCTGAGTAAAGAGTCCATCAGTATTAACTCATCCATTCACACACTGATGGTAGAGGCTGCTGAGTAAAGAGTCCATCAGTATTAACTCATCCATTCACACACTGATGGTAGAGGCTGCTGAGTAAAGAGTCCATCAGTATTAACTCATCCATTCACACACTGATGGTAGAGGCTGCTGAGTAAAGAGTCCATCAGTATTAACTCATCCATTCACACACATTCACACACTGATGGTAGAGGCGCTGAGTAAAGAGTCCATCAGTATTAACTCATCCATTCACACACTGATGGTAGAGGCTGCTGAGTAAAGAGTCCATCAGTATTAACTCATCCATTCACACACTGATGGTAGAGGCCGCTGAGTAAAGAGTCCATCAGTATTAACTCATCCATTCACACATTCACACACTGATGGTAGAGGCGCTGAGTAAAGAGTCCGTCAGTATTAACTCATCCATTCACACATTCACACACTGATGGTAGAGGCCGCTGAGTAAAGAGTCCGTCAGTATTAACTCATCCATTCACACACTGATGGTAGAGGCCGCTGAGTAAAGAGTCCATCAGTATTAACTCATCCATTCACACACTGATGGTAGAGGCGCTGAGTAAAGAGTCCATCAGTATTAACTCATCCATTCACACACTGATGGTAGAGGCGCTGAGTAAAGAGTCCGTCAGTATTAACTCATCCATTCACACACTGATGGTAGAGGCCGCTGAGTAAAGAGTCCATCAGTATTAACTCATCCATTCATACACATTCACACACTGATGGTAGAGGCCGCTGAGTAAAGAGTCCATCAGTATTAACTCATCCATTCACACACATTCACACGCTGATGGTAGAGGCCGCTGAGTAAAGAGTCCATCAGTATTAACTCATCCATTCACACACTGATGGTAGAGGCCGCTGAGTAAAGAGTCCATCAGTATTAACTCATCCATTCACACGCTGATGGTAGAGGCCGCTGAGTAAAGAGTCCATCAGTATTAACTCATCCATTCACACACTGATGGTAGAGGCGCTGAGTAAAGAGTCCGTCAGTATTAACTCATCCATTCACACACTGATGGTAGAGGCCGCTGAGTAAAGAGTCCATCAGTATTAACTCATCCTCATACACATTCACACACTGATGGTAGAGGCCGCTGAGTAAAGAGTCCGTCAGTATTAACTCATCCATTCACACACACGCTGATGGTAGAGGCCGCTGAGTAAAGAGTCCATCAGTATTAACTCATCCATTCACACACTGATGGTAGAGGCCGCTGAGTAAAGAGTCCATCAGTATTAACTCATCCATTCACACACTGATGGTAGAGGCTGCTGAGTAAAGAGTCCATCAGTATTAACTCATCCATTCACACACTGATGGTAGAGGCCGCTGAGTAAAGAGTCCATCAGTATTAACTCATCCATTCACACGCTGATGGTAGAGGCCGCTGAGTAAAGAGTCCTCAGTATTAACTCATCCATTCACACACTGATGGTAGAGGCCGCTGAGTAAAGAGTCCATCAGTATTAACTCATCCATTCACACTGATGGTAGAGGCCGCTGAGTAAAGAGTCCATCAGTATTAACTCATCCATTCACACATTCACACGCTGATGGTAGAGGCCGCTGAGTAAAGAGTCCATCAGTATTAACTCATCCATTCACACACTGATGGTAGAGGCCGCTGAGTAAAGAGTCCATCAGTATTAACTCATCCATTCACACACATGGTAGAGGCCGCTGAGTAAAGAGTCCATCAGTATTAACTCATCCATTCATCACATTCACACACTGATGGTAGAGGCCGCTGAGTAAAGAGTCCATCAGTATTAACTCATCCATTCACACACTGATGGTAGAGGCCGCTGAGTAAAGAGTCCGTCAGTATTAACTCATCCATTCACACGCTGATGGTAGAGGCCGCTGAGTAAAGAGTCCGTCAGTATTAACTCATCCATTCACACACTGATGGTAGAGGCCGCTGAGTAAAGAGTCCGTCAGTATTAACTCATCCATTCACACGCTGATGGTAGAGGCCGCTGAGTAAAGAGTCCATCAGTATTAACTCATCCATTCACACTGCTGATGGTAGAGGCCGCTGAGTAAAGAGTCCATCAGTATTAACTCATCCATTCACACACTGATGGTAGAGGCTGCTGAGTAAAGAGTCCATCAGTATTAACTCATCCATTCACACTGATGGTAGAGGCTGCTGAGTAAAGAGTCCATCAGTATTAACTCATCCATTCACACACTGATGGTAGAGGCCGCTGAGTAAAGAGTCCATCAGTATTAACTCATCCATTCACACGCTGATGGTAGAGGCGCTGAGTAAAGAGTCCATCAGTATTAACTCATCCATTCACACACTGATGGTAGAGGCTGCTGAGTAAAGAGTCCATCAGTATTAACTCATCCATTCATACACATTCACACACTGATGGTAGAGGCCGCTGAGTAAAGAGTCCATCAGTATTAACTCATCCATTCATACACATTCACACGCTGATGGTAGAGGCCGCTGAGTAAAGAGTCCATCAGTATTAACTCATCCATTCACACACTGATGGTAGAGGCCGCTGAGTAAAGAGTCCATCAGTATTAACTCATCCATTCACACACATTCACACACTGATGGTAGAGGCCGCTGAGTAAAGAGTCCATCAGTATTAACTCATCCATTCACACGCTGATGGTAGAGGCCGCTGAGTAAAGAGTCCATCAGTATTAACTCATCCATTCACACGCTGATGGTAGAGGCCGCTGAGTAAAGAGTCCATCAGTATTAACTCATCCATTCACATTCACACTGATGGTAGAGGCCGCTGAGTAAAGAGTCCATCAGTATTAACTCATCCATTCATACACATTCACACACTGATGGTAGAGGCCGCTGAGTAAAGAGTCCATCAGTATTAACTCATCCATTCACACGCTGATGGTAGAGGCTGCTGAGTAAAGAGTCCATCAGTATTAACTCATCCATTCACACACTGATGGTAGAGGCCGCTGAGTAAAGAGTCCATCAGTATTAACTCATCCATTCACACACTGATGGTAGAGGCCGCTGTGTAAAGAGTCCATCAGTATTAACTCATCCATTCACACACTGATGGTAGAGGCCGCTGTGTAAAGAGTCCATCAGTATTAACTCATCCATTCACACACTGATGGTAGAGGCCGCTGAGTAAAGAGTCCATCAGTATTAACTCATCCATTCACACACTGATGGTAGAGGCCGCTGAGTAAAGAGTCCATCAGTATTAACTCATCCATTCACACACTGATGGTAGAGGCCGCTGTGTAAAGAGTCCATCAGTATTAACTCATCCATTCACACACTGATGGTAGAGGCCGCTGTGTAAAGAGTCCATCAGTATTAACTCATCCATCATCCATTCACACACTGATGGTAGAGGCCGCTGAGTAAAGAGTCCATCAGTATTAACTCATCCATTCATACACATTCACACGCTGACGGTAGAGGCCGCTGAGTAAAGAGTCCATCAGTATTAACTTATCCATTCACACACTGATGGTAGAGGCCGCTGAGTAAAGAGTCCATCAGTATTAACTCATCCATTCACACGCTGATGGTAGAGGCTGCTGAGTAAAGAGTCCATCAGTATTAACTCATCCATTCACACACTGATGGTAGAGGCCGCTGAGTAAAGAGTCCATCAGTATTAACTCATCCATTCATACACATTCACGCTGATGGTAGAGGCCGCTGAGTAAAGAGTCCATCAGTATTAACTCATCCATTCACACGCTGATGGTAGAGGCCGCTGAGTAAAGAGTCCATCAGTATTAACTCATCCATTCATACACATTCACACGCTGATGGTAGAGGCCGCTGAGTAAAGAGTCCATCAGTATTAACTCATCCATTCACACGCTGATGGTAGAGGCCGCTGAGTAAAGAGTCCATCAGTATTAACTCATCCATTCATACACATTCACACGCTGATGGTAGAGGCCGCTGAGTAAAGAGTCCATCAGTATTAACTCATCCATTCACACACTGATGGTAGAGGCCGCTGAGTAAAGAGTCCATCAGTATTAACTCATCCATTCATACACATTCACACGCTGATGGTAGAGGCCGCTGAGTAAAGAGTCCGTCAGTATTAACTCATCCATTCACACACTGATGGTAGAGGCCGCTGAGTAAAGAGTCCATCAGTATTAACTCATCCATTCATACACATTCA